TAATTATATGTATATGATGGTTCATAGTAATGATGCCATAGCAATGAATAACTATTTTGTATCTACTCTGCATAAAGTAATGCAAAGAAAGTTATCTCAATTTAAACTATTCAATATTTTGTTGTGAGTAACTTGGTAAATCTATTTAAATAAGCCTATTTGATTTTCTTGCTATTCCAATTTAAATTATATTTACATGTTTGCTCAAGACATAAATGTACACTCTTATGCTTTCACAGCCTAACTTCGTGGTGCATCACAAGATATTAAATATGGAGACCTTGTAAGTGCATTGAACATATTGTTCTCTAGATACATTATAAACTTCTGAACAGAGCTTTATTTATTTTCAATATACACTTATAATAAAAGTGTAAGTTTTGGTATTTATTCAGAATTTTACAAAAGTTAGTAGAATGCTGATTACCACAATAATATTTGGAGCACTTGTAGCCAAGGGATGCTAAGGATAATTGGAAAAGAAAAAGTAGTTAAAGAGAAAACACACAATATAGTGATTAAAGTTAATAATGATATACTGTTTCCTAAAATAATTAAAATATATTTTAAATGAACTCATCAGAATACTTATAAGTACATGAAATAAAGCATATATGTTAGTTGATACATTGTGTCAGCTTCGATGAATTAGCTCCAGTAGTTCTGGGTGTGGGGGCCTAGCCCTGCAGGTAGGCAGAGCCCAGGAATTTAGGAAGGCTTCCTGCCCTATCCTGCCCCTCATCCATGGAGAAATCCCAGTCTTTGCAGGAGTTTGATCTTCACAGCCATGCCACTTTGGAGGAGCTGCAATATTCCCCTTGGAAAGCTAGTCTTCAGTCTTTGCAGTCAGCACAGAAGGAAGAGAGAGGCTGGATGGACACCTCAGCTGCCCTTCTCTGCTTTTCATTGTTTTCTGCCACAAGAACTGCTGTCATTTGCCTTGGAGCAAGCAGAATATGAACTGAAGCCTCCAGTAACTGTGAGCTAAATAAACCTTTCCTTTCCTCATTCTGAGTGTTGGGTATTTGTTCTAGCAACAAGTAAAAAAGTAGCTAAGACAGCATATATTAATTATTTCAGTCTAGCCACTCCTTAATGACATCTCTTTTTTTGGTTTTGTTTTTCAACACAGGATCTCACAATGAAGCTCAGCTTAAACTTGGATTCACTGTGTACTGTGTAGCCCAGGATGGTCAGAAATTTACAGTGATTCTCCTGCTCAGCCTACAGAGTGCTGAGATTACAAGTGTGTACCACCATGCCTAACCTAGTTATTGCTTAATGAATACACATTTCAAGCATCTTTATGTACATTGAATAATGCATAACTGTACCAAAAAGTACTTCAACTGCTTCTCTGCCTTACTACTAAGATCACGTGTACAAAGTACTACTTCAGGTCTAACCTGGGGGGCTTAAAGTTGTCTGTGTGTGGCCAATAAGACTTAGGACAGTCTAAGGAGAACCTAAATGAGCTGAGGAATGTGAGCTCCCCTGGTCACTTGAAGGGGATCAAGATGGGCCTGATTTATAGGTCTGAGAAGGTCCATTAAACAGGAGGTCAAAGAAACCTCCTACTACAGTGATACTCCCTAAATAAACCAGTGAGGCTGAGATCCCCCAGAGAGACAAGTGAGGATCTTAGTATAACGCTTGATTTGGAGTGAGTCTTCCAGGTCCAACCTGCTTGCTAGCAGAGATACTATTCTCAAGAAGGAACTCAGCTCAGCCCCCAGGCTATCATCAGCATACACAGGAAAAAACAGGACAAGGAAACCTGCCAGTCCTAAGACATCTGGCTATATCTGGAGATAACTGAAAACTTACATGGACCTTCAAGGACATTTTTCCCCAATGAAAGGCAAGACTGCCAGAGAGCTCTGACCACAGATGTATATTAAAATCTTCCCACCTAATGTCCCTTTCTTTTCAATCCCTATAAAAGAGACACACTTCTCTTTGTGCCCCACAGGTGTTCTTTTCTCCTGTCTTCTTGAACCCAGGCACAGTGAGTTCCATGCCACGTTGCCTTTACACAAATCCTGGGGTTTCTGCTGGTCTCTGCCCCTTGCCCTACCATTCATTACACTTAGAAAAAGTTCCTTCACAATATCACTTTTTTCCCTTTGGGATTCCACTAAGTAACCTTGCTCTTGAGTATTCCCTTTGCTACAGAGCTCCAAAAGCCTGGACATAAGGCATCTCATGCCACCTTATTTGTTCCAAGAATAAACACTAGATATTGAACTCATAATTAAAGTACAAACCCATATCTATATTTTGCCCCTTTTCAATTCATATTGAATCCAGACTGTATTGCAAAAATAGATAAACTGTGCTTGTTTCAAATTGTCAGGATTTATCCTGTCCCATTCATTAAGGATAAGGCCTACTGGTGAAGTCAATGTAATTAGTGTGGTGATGAGATCTAACAGATTTCCCATCTGCTTGTTTTGGGACCTGTAGAGAGGAGAGAGCTAGGTCTGCACTCTTTATGGTGGCATACCACACAAAGTGAGGAGACACAAAATGCACAACGTTCCTCTCGTGAAACTTTACACAATGTGTGCAGACATCTCCATGCCATCCTTGGGTTAATAATGGCATTAGGAATACAGAAGTGCAGAAGACTCCCTGAGGGCTTCTGTCTCCATATCAAGGACACATTAACTATTTGGGAATGAAGAGGCATGAACAATCTTGGCCTTACCTAATATTTTAATCTCCATGAAGTAACCGCAGAACTTTTCCAAGCAAAGTTCTCTAAGTTACCTAGCTGAACCTATTTGTAGGCCTAATGTGTACTCATTCTAAGTTGCTCGCCAGCTTAGCTGGTATTTCAAATTCCTGGATGACTCATTTAATGAAATGAAATCAAATGTGAAGATATCACTAGTGTTTATTTAGATAGCAAATGGACTACAGCAGGGGTGGGTCTGTTTTAATACATCCACAGCAATGTTAATTAACTTTCAAATGATAAACACTGCTTTTCTCTGGCATCAGGCATAGATCTTTTTTTTTCCATAATTTATTGAAACAAATAGCAATGAGACAGTTTCAAGTCTGATTAGTAGAACAGTTTCAATAATCACTACATTATATATTGTTGTCTTAGTTGTTATCACTTGCACAAGAAGTACACATGATATCCTGTGCACAGACAACTTTAGAACAAATCTTTCTATTCATTAAATTAAGAGAATGTACTGGTATAAATATCCTAACTATTTTGAATATAATGATATAAAATGGTCCTTCATATGTATCCCCATTTTAGTTTCCTTCTGTCACTTAAATATTATAAGTGAGTAAAATCAGAAAATTATGACAAATAGTCCAGTAGACAATAATAGTAGTGGGGTTTTTTCCATAATTTTATTGATAAATAAATAGCAATGACACAGTTTCAAATACAATCGGTAGGACAGTTTCAATAATTAACACACTGCATACATTCTTCTTAGAGGTTAATTGCTGTAAAAGATGCGGACTTGAGATCTTTAAAAACGCAATTAGAACATATCATTCTATTCATTAAGAGAAGGTAACTATATATCGATCCTAACTACTTTGAATACAAAGATACAAAATGGACATTCATCTGTATACCCTTTTTTTGTTCAGTTCCGTTATTTGAATATTATAGGTGTGTAAACTCAGCAAAATATTCTAAAAGAGT